GTTTGTGGAGGTGAGGCAGAGAGCCAGATCCCGCACATCACTTGGTACTTGGCTTGGTGGAAGACGTGGACGCAGCACTAACCAGGCAACGGCATCACGTCTCCCGCATCAATGTTTTTGCTGCTTTTCTCTTTCCGTCACTTTATCGCTTTTTACGCTAGCACTTCCCAGTTCCTCTGAGGCACCAGATGTCTTTTGTCACAGGTGGTTTAAGTGACAAACACAGTCACATCCAGAGTGGTTTTCAGCCTCCACTTAGCTTTGAAGATGCTTCCATTTGAAGCCTGAGGAGAGTGTATGTGAATGAAAAACACCATTGTTGGTGCTGCTTTCTCCAGATATATTTGCTAGTCTAATAAAAGGTATGACCTCACTCAATAAATCCTCGTTTTTGCTTCCTCTCCTACCAAAACAAGCTGCATTTTGTGTAGGTTTTTCCAGAGGAATCACTTCAAAGATTGGCAGTGGTTGCTTCTGCCAGTGCAGACACGTTTTGCAGGTTTATGATCTTGTGTCCCAAAGTTAATTACTTTTAGAAGGGCATGGCTTTTTCTAGCTCCAGGTGAGGTTTGCCTTCACTGACTGCTTGGGAGTGGGGGAGTGGTTTGGGGCCGAAAGAACCCAGCCATCCGTTTTCAAAGAGGGAAGAGGCCAACAGAAGAGACAAGAAAAGGTTAGTGTGGCTTTTGTGCACAATATAAAAAGCAAGTCAATACCATTGTAGGGGCATTGGAGGGTACTCAAAGCAATCAGTCAGGGGCCATTGTGTTCCCGTAATCTACATGTGTATTTCCCAAGAACTCTATTAGTGAAGATGAATGAACTGTGCAATGTCCCTAATTTCTTCTAATTTGGAGCTGGGGTTTTACAGCAGTCACAACCAACACAAAACATGCCCATCCTTCCAGAAGCCCTGGGCAAATTTGGGAATAATTTTTGCTCGTAGAAGAAGGATAGCAAGGTGAGACGAAGGTGCAAACCCCTTTAGTCAGTGCCGTGAAGGGCACTGGATTCTGGCACAGATGCTGCTGTTAGGGTGTCTGTCAAAATCGGCAGTTACAGGGGCAAGGCTCAGTTTTTTTGCTGTTAATCACAGTGTGAATGTTCAGCAGAATAACCTTCCACCCTTGAAGCAGGGTGCATGAGTCCCACACAGGACACAAGAGACCTTCCTCCCTAACAGAGAAGGATCCTCTTTCCTCAGCAGTAGACTACTGCAGCTGTATTTTCCATACGAAGCTACATTTGTCACGGGAGCATCCTTCTTGCAGGGCAGTGGAGCTGTTGAAAGAGGAAGCAACTCCCTTGGTCCCGATTTGAAAAAAATGCCTGAAAAAACCCCATAACCCTGTAGCAGAGCAGAGAGAGCTCTGACTCTCCCAGCTCCAAATCTGTCTTTTCTCTCTTGCCACACTTGAGGCACAGGCAGGCATGTGAGGCAACACAGTGCTGCGGGGAGGGAGGAAGTCTGATGGTTCTCTGGTAACAGATTTTAGAATGATGAAGAAAGGTGACTGAACAGTTCCCTTTGGGTCTAACGTCCTGGCTGTCAGTTGAATCCCTTGCTGCGACAGAGTCCCCTGGGACCTGTGTCATGTTAGTATGAAGCCTCAGAAACTTATCTATGGTACATCACAGCTTCGCAAAGACTGTTTACTTTTGGATGTTTACGGGGCAATCAGAATCAAATTTGAGTATTCATTAGAGGCTGAAAGGGACAGGATTTATTACTTGCCTTTCCAAGAGATACTCCCCATTCCATCAGCTTTTTTATTTTTTGGCAATATATTATTATAATTACTGCTGCAATTATGCTTGGAAACTAGCAAAAGTTCTCAAGATGGACAGTCTCTAAAGTGCAGCTGTCTGCTGTACCTCCTTCCTGCACATGCATATAAAGACTAAATGGGAACAGTTTTCATCCTGTTGGTGCTGTTGAGACATATGTATGGGACGTGGCTTCACACAATGAAATCAGCACCATAACATGCCACAGATTCTTCCTTTGCTCCTGCCTTTTCCTTATATGAAGCTGAAATAATTACTGCCTTGACAGGGCAGACATTTGAAGCTGAAGTCACACTGCAGGTGGGACATCGCTCTCTGGACCAGAGATGTGCAACAGGGAGCACCTCCCTGAAAGATAAATGGGGCTTCCAGGGTCACACAGCAAATCAACAGCAAATCCAGAAGTCCTCCTGCAGTTTGCATGCTCTGTATAATCCAACAGATTGTTCAAAACTGGAAAAAAAGGCTTTGCTTTTTTCCTCCCCTGAAATTCCTAGGTGTGCAGTTTAAGAACCTTCTTGAAAGCACAGTGCCCAAGGAAGCTGCTGTCACTGCATTGCTTGTGCCTTGCTTTTTTTTTTTTTCTGGTGAGATTTTTCTTTATCTGCCCCAGGAGAGTCAGTTGTGTTTTCTCCATGGACAAAGTGCTCTTTGGCATGCAGGAATTGCACAGAGAAACCCTTCTGCCTTGGTGCCTGTCTGGGCTGTGGGTATGGAATAGGCTGTAGCTGCTCTGGGAGCTGGGCAGCCTTTTCTGGTGGGAGCACCATGGGCTGGGTGCGAGGGCTCCCACATTCAGGCTCGCCGTGCTTAGCCATCCCTCCAGAGGGAGGGATGGAGGTTCATGCTATAAGGCTATATTAATGCAATCCTTCTTTACTTGTTTTCCAATTAGCCTAATTGAATTCAGATTGCTTAAAAGTGGGCACTAGAGACATTTATCTTGATGGGATGACGGCCTTGAGCTCCAGCGATCCTATTAACTATAAGAACCCAAATCCCAGGTAGGGTCCATCCAGCAGTAGCTCCCATGTGACCTAACAATTTAATCTGCTCCTCTTCTGTCCAGCACACACACAGACACACAGACATGTCCATGTCCACACTCACACGTGCATAGGTGCGTGCACACATGTACACGTGCGTTTGTGCACGCGTAGGGACACAAGCACATGCCCAAACACACACATGTGCACATGCACACACATGCAGTGGCTATGCCTTAAGGCTCCAGCAGCCTTAGGAGAAAGGTTTAGTGCAAGACATTGGAGAAGAATGTTGGAGAAAGACATAGGAGGAAGACCTTTTTTCCCTTTTCTTGCCAGCTGGAGCAGAGTGAGTGTGCAGCCTGCCTGCCTGCACACCCTGCTCCAGGCTCCCCTGGGACCTGTCCCCAGGGATAAACACCTGGAGAGCTGCATGCCCAGTGCCGTGTACCCAGTGTGGCCCTGCCACCTCCTGCCCCTGTGCCTGCCCAGCCTGCTCTGGTGTCTGAGGACAGGGAGAGCCGGTGCTGAGGGATGAGCCCTGCAGGTGCTGGCAGGGAGCAGGCAGCCACCTCCAGCAGGGTGAGGATCAGGCTCCTGCTGAGGGCAGATTTGCTGCTCTGCCCTGGCCATCATAACACCCTGCACAAGGGTTCTCAGGGAGATCTGGGCCAACGGTGCTGGGTCATCCCCTGCCTCTGGAGCCGGGCCCCACTGTACCCAGTGTACCCCACTGCTCCAGTGCCCAGCCCATGCCACCCCAGGGCAGGTGCAAGCTGCTCCAGCACACCAAGGAAGTGCCGTCTGAGTGTGGGATCAGAAAGTGATACCTTCTGCGAAGCAGCCCCGCTCTGCCACTGCAGACTGAGGGGGTGTGAGTCTGTGGTCTAACGGTGGTGCCTAGGGCAGCCCACTCCCCTGACAGCAGCACTTCACTGGGGCTGCACAGGGCTCCCATTCCACACAGCCCCCAGCCACCTCTCAGTCCTGCTTGCCTCTGCCAGCCCTGACATTTTTTGGAATCCCATTAATCGCTTGTTTGGTGATTCTGACTGTACTTTCTTCTCTGACCCTTTAAACCATGAAAGTGCTGATCCTATATCTGCTGATGAATTTAATTAGATCCTTTAAACCACTAGATGCTTTCAGTAAAATTTTTAGGATGTCCCAGGCACATTTTAATTCAAAAGTTGAAAGCCTCAGGCTTGTTTACTTTGGTGTCTTATAGATAAGACAATTCCAATCTGTAAAGCAACAGAACCACGTGGGCACAGCAGCCAGATTTGTACCAATGCGGAGGGAATACCTGCCACCTCTCCCTTTCCCCGGGGAGCCGCGGGCGGTGCTCCTGGAGGGCCGGGGCTGTGCGGGACGCAGCGGCAGGGCAGGGCCGAGCCCGGGGCTGTGCGGGCACGGACCGGGGCTCTGCAGCCAGCGGAGGGAATCTCATCCTCCTTTTAGTGTTAGCAAACTGGCTGCGTTCAGGGGAACTAGGAACTACCAAGCAAGAACAGTTCAACGTATGTTTGGGACGAGTGTTTTTAGAAAGTGCCTGGGTGCTCACCAGTAACATCAGGGAAAAAAATGATGATCAGCTTGAAATGCTAGAAAGGATTCTAGTAGAAAATAGGTAAAAGACATACAAAGAAATATATTTGCCTAGATTAATAAAACACAGTCCATATATGATGAACACATAAAGCTGCACAGTGCCCTCTCTGTCCTTTTGCAGACATGGAGGTGGATACCATTGTAACCATCGGTGATAATGAGCTTTTTTAAAGTAGCTGATTTTCTCTGGCCTTTTCCCATGTCATACTGTCTGTGCCAGTGCTGCAGCAGAAGGTGGTACAGTGGCCCTCCCTGGCCATCCTGGCACCCAGCACCTGCTGGAGCAGGAGGTGAACCTCTCTCCCTCCTCTCTGCCTCACTGCAGAGGTGACTTGGCCAAAAGGGAGAATTTTTCCTCCTGTCCAAGTGTGGACAAAGGGGTAAAAAAAAAGAGAGAAAAGACAAAGAGAAAAGGGATGGAAGGAAGGAAAGAAGGAAGGAAGGAAGGAAGGAAGGAAGGGAAAGAGAAAGGAAGGACACAAACCATACTTACTGCATTTGTTAATTTAAAATTAATATTTTTACTTGGTTAGGTGGAGACAGAGAGAGACAGAAAGAGACTTATAAACCTGTAGGAAGGTGTTACATATATTCATTTCTAAATTTATTTCACAGGCTAGCTCTTGGAGAGGTTACAAAGTCCTTCCTTTCACAGAATACCTGAGCCCCTCAGGAGCAGTGTCCTGCCTGTCCGACAGCCTCAGTCAGATTTAGCACAAGTGAAAGCCAAGCTTCTCCTCAGGGTTTAGGTGCCCTACCGTGGAAGAACCTTCCAGGTGGGCCAGATTTACGTTCGGCCTTCGATGGAGGTGACTCCCAGAATCAACGTGGTGAGCTGGTTTGAACCTGTGCAAGTTTGGTGCTGGTACCTCAGGCCCCAGAATTTGGCACACAGAGCAGCCAAGCAGAGTCACTGCTGTCCCTCGACGTTTAAACTGCCTTGGAAGACTGAGAGACTGGGAAATGAAAGCAGGCTGGAGGAGCCTGCACTGCTACAGAGCAGGGCTCACTGACAGCTCCCAAGCCTTGGTTTCCTACAAGTCCCCACTCAGTGTTACATATGACAACACTTTTGTCCCAAGCTATTGAGTTACGTGCTTCACTTTTTGTGTTTTGCTACATTTGGTGCAGAGATGGTCAAAAAAAAAATCTTTCAAGTTTTTGCAGCAAATGTCAGCATTTGAATACTGTGTTTGTTTCAAAATGTTTGAAACAGACGTGTTTTTATAAGAAATATATGCATTTATTTCTGAAAGCACTATTAAATGAGTGATTACCTATATGTGATGTATCAGAATTACAATTTTGCTAAAAAATACACATTTAATAGCATGGAAAAAGGCACATTTTTTCCCCAATATTAACTTCTTTTGAGCCATTTTTTCCATGGGGAAAAATGTTATGTTAAAAATTAGGATCACTTCTAACTTTGTCCTAGGCAGTCACAACACGTAACTTTTCCCCCTCCCCTCAGGGTTTTAAGTCTCTATCTCTTGTCTCTTTTCTCTATTTATGCTCTAGAGCTAAGTGCATCCCTCTGCCTGCCCTCACTCTGCAGTCCTGGCGAGACAAGACTGAAGTCACAGCCCTTGGGTGGTGGTGGCTCTTCTACATGACAGAACATTTCTGCTCGGCCGCCTGCTTCATTTCAGTAAAGGTGGCTTGTGCCTTTTCTTTGATCTGATCCATGTCCATGTTCTGGATGTTCTGCAGCTGTCCCAGGATGGAGTCCTTGTCCTCTTCCTCCTCCTGATCTTGTGCCACCATCTTCTGCAGGTCTTCTGGCAAACCCACATCATCTCCAGCCATCTGTATTTGATTCTCATCCAGTTCACTCTGATACAAAAAGCAGAAAATAAAAACAGCACATGAGAGTATTTCTGCTCTCCCAGGATCTACGGATGAGTCTCTTTTTTGTTCATTTCTTTGTTTTTTTAGGGAGAACCAAAACAGATAGCACAGATTTTTCAGTCAAAGTTTTTGGGTGCAACTTGTGAATTCAGGGGCTCAATCAGCCTCCATGCAAGTCCTAAGATTTTTCGGACAATGTCTACTGTATTTTTTTGAAGGGCTTCAGCACAGTCAAAACTGAAGCCCTCAGTGTCACTTGCCATTTTAGAAATCTTTGACATATGCGTTGGCCATGGTAACCTGCTGATCCTGCAGGAATTCCATTCCAACTTATCTGTGTCCACCAAAATCCTGCTGCAGTACACTGCTGAGTCTGCCTGTCAGCTTCTGGTCAATGAAGCAATGGCTCTAGAAAAACTGGGTGGCTACCATTGCCCTGGGGTTGGTGGGGATTTTTAGGTATCAGCACTAAACTGAAGCCTTCCAGAGGAAAGATGCATGAAACTTAGGAAAGGATTAAAGGTAATTAAAGGTAAAAGGGTCTCATCTTCCCGAACCACGTCTAAACTCTGCCTAGGTCTTTGGTTGGCCTCTCTGAGTTGTGATGAAGGGCAGGGGCTGCCTGGCACATAATCAAAGCAGTGTTGCAGTGCTGGTAAGTGGGGTAATAGGAGGACTTGGACAACAAAAGAGAGGATGGAGGTTGGGTGTGAGTCTGAGAAAGCAAAAGGAGACAGGAGAAGGAACTGGTTAAGCAATTAAAAGGGCTGAGATGCAGTAAGCACTACACACACTTGCTTCCTGCCTGCCCCCTGAAACGCTCCATCAGTGGGGCTACGGCAATTTTTCAAACAATGGTGATTTTGTTCACATTTTGTGGTGGATTCTGATGGATCCAGTGCTCAGAAGAACAGGATATTTTGACACAGTTCACACATCAAAGATAAGCATTAATGCCTCATTACATCTCCAAAATGAAGCATGACAGCAGCAAAGGCCTGATATGAATAAGCAGCAATGCTATCAGCAGGAGGTGTTTTTGAGAGTGAGGGGTCTGGGGTTTGCATGAATGAGTGCAAGAATGAATGGAAGGATGTACATGAGCAATGTGTCAGTTCAGGCCTTAGCCAGGACAAGCAGACGGGGGTGATCGACTGCACAGACACTATTTACTGTTATGTGTTTGTCCAGCTTTATGTTTGCAATAACTCTACTTCCCTTTAACCTGATTTCTCCCCATATCTCCTATGAAATTATGGAGAGTTCTATCAGGATTGTTACTCTTATGTGGCTAAAATGGGTGAGGCCATCTCTTCACCCCTTTGGATAAGGGTTGCTGCTGTCAGATCTGTGGGAGCATGAAACAATATCCCAATCAGCAGAGTTTTCCTTTATTGATTGTGTACCAGGAAAAAATGTGTTAAGCTTTTAATCAGCAAGTGCTGGCTATGAGAAGAGTTAGCCCTTTGGAAATCCTCCCAAGTAGCAGTAGAGGATGATAAAAAAAGATACAGTTCTAATTACTGAGAAGTGCCCCTAAGCAGACAATCACACATGTTCTTTTCTTTAGAACTATTTATAATTTAAGACATCATCACTGCACATTACTGTAGTGATTTCACATCTTTGGCAATGTGAACAGTTGTCTGGCATGTTTTTGCACCAAAGCCCACTGTCCTACTTAAGTCTGAGATGTGATGCCCAGCAGCTTGGAGGTTCAAAGTGTTCTCTGGCCAAAGAAGAACATATTCAGATATGGTCTAAAGCAGTACAATTCTGCCCAAGTCACCTGCCTCTACCCACTTGGCACTGAGCTTGTCCTTGAGCAGTCCTAGAATGAGCCCAGACATGGCTCTGACAGTGACAGAGACACTGCCCTGCATCAGAATACCCAGAGAGCACCCAAAATAGGGAGAGCTCCTGGGCAGAGAGCTGGGGCCGTGGGCTCTAGTCAGCCCATACAGACAAGCCCTAGGGACCCTGGCAAACTGCACTGGACTGGATGGTGTCTCTCCTGATGCCTTTAATCTTCACAGGCTCCAGGTCTCTGCAGGTGTTCAGCCACCCTTATAGGATCTTTGAGAACAGAGGTGCAATATCTGTTCTAGGAAATTAAATGTGCCTGGCACTGGTGTCTTGCCCCAAGGCCAGCTGGACTGGAAAACCCCCTGAGATGCCACTGAACTCTCTCACCCTCCCAAACAGGGTGGTCCCATCTAACTGCCGAGTGGGAATGCCTGTCCTAACTCCCAAACTGGCCCTGGGAACTGCTTGGGAGAATGCCCAGGCCAAAACTGGGTCAGACATTATTCTGACAATTCAGCAGCATAGGCGATAGATAATATTTTTTGACCCTGATTATGCATCTGATGTAGTCAGTCTCAGATTTTGTTTTGTTATAGATGCAGAGTTCTTCACATATACATGATACACAGGTAGGTGTGAGGGGAAAACAGTCTAAATAGCTGCTTTATTACAATTTGATTTTCAAGTCCTCTGTCCAAATTAAGGTGCAAATGAGACCAAATGCCAGTTCAGCAATACCGACTTTATTTTGTAACATTGCATGTATAGGGAAAGGAGACAAGTAGGTATGGGAAGCCACAGGTGGAACCAGTAGCCTTGTCCCTCACAAACACTCTCTTGTGCCATCCCCACACAGGGACAGTCTGGAGCAGAGATGGTGTGAGGGGACTGCTGCCTCCTGCCATCGGCACTGGGACTGCGTTTATCCACAGCTCACCAGCAGCTCATGGCTCTGTGTCGAATCCCAGCGCAGGAAAAAGGCAGTAAGTGCACAAGAGAGTTTGGTGGGTTTGTTTGTTTGCTTGCTTGCTTGGATTTTAAATAAAAATATTAATTTCTGTATGTATATAATTCTTTTAAAAATGTGGTTTGTTACGAATGTCACGCGTTGAATACTCCAAAGATGAAAAAGGTGCCCGTAGATCAAATGTCTCATGGCTAAAAACATCTTTCTGATGACAAATCTAAGTTGACAACTCTGTTAATAGGATTAGGTTCATTAAGGGTCTACTTTCTCTTATAAATCTGGCCCAGATAGCATGGAGCTTTAGATTTTACACTGCAAAGGGGGCCCTGCTTAGTCCTGAATTTCATGCATTCATTTCCAATGTGTGCTAATGATCAATACTGGTAATATGCAGGGTTTCTAGCCCATACCAGGCTATCTGAAATGACTTTCAGTTTTCAAAATAACTAATGCATTATCATGAGTCTGAGAGCATTTTGCTGCCAGAATGTTGTATCACAGAGTTGAATTGTTTTCCAGGGGCATATGGCGCCCATGTAATAATTTCATTTTCTTCCTGATATAATGTACATTTTCATAAGGGCTGATAAAAACCAAGAAATGCTATACAGGCAGAAACAAATGCAGAAGCAGCACATCCTGCAATATTATTGCTGGCTTAGAGCTACTCTTCTACCTTGGAGGCAAGTCTTCCAGTGTTATCACTGGAATTTGTCCCCAAAGAGCACTCAGTTCCTAGCAAAGCCAAGATCCTGCTGGAGCTGGGGCAGATCACCACTGTGTGCTCCTGGGTTTAGGAGGTGCTCAGCCCTGGGGGTCTGTGGACACCTCAACACCATCTCAGCTGAAAAAAGCACCACAGGTGGGAGCCTTTCAGAATCACAGACACCCAGCTCTGCTGATGTTCAGTGGAGAGCTGAGCACTTCAGGATCCCGAAGCTTTCCAAACAGGCCCCTCTTGCATTTGAAAACCGTGGCGAGGGGACAGGTAGGTGCTGTCCAATAGCCATCTCAGCATATGCCTCCAAAAGGACAACAAAGCCTAATGATATTTTACTACTCAGCTGCTAATTAAAATGCTGGTGTTTAGAGATTTAGGCCTACAATCCAATCAACCACTTAAAATCTTGTACTTAATTTTTTTTGCATAATTAATCTTTCTGTAATTAAACTCACCCTCAGGATGTTTTCCAGCTACTGCATTGGAAGAAATGGGCTCTTAAGGGTGGAATACATTTTACCTGACTTCAGCTGTCACCTGGCCTCCCTCTGCAAGAGGCATATGGCACTGGGAGGTGACCCAACTCCACCTGAAATGCTTATTTGAAAGTTGGGATAGGTGAGGCTAGAAGTGCTGCTCTCTTTCTGTTGATGACAGAGTCCCTAAATGACTTGCTTGGGTTAAGCACCAAATTTTTTAGCAGTTAAATTTAACATGAGATGGATTCTTTAGTAGAGAGTGATCCTTGTTTGTATCCAAGAGTTTTTATGTCAGGAAAAAGCTAGCAATCTAAATGCTGTCTGTGGCTTCTGTCATGATCCAGAAGCTATTGCAGCTGCTGCCTGCTTTTAACAAACCTCCACAGTTCTCTGTTGCTTTCTGTATTTTGCTTTTCCTGGGAATATTTGACAAACAGGAGCACTAAAGAAAAAGGAATGGGCAGTTTGCTTTTGCGCTTCTTGGGGGAAGACAGTACAAATGAGCCTTCAGAAGTTTAGCAGAACTCAAATGTAGACCTTGTACAGGAGTTTTCAGGGACTTTGCTTATGTGCTTATAGGGTTTTTTTTCAGCTCTTGAATGCTGCCAAGTTAAGAGCATATACTGATGGTGAGGAGAGGTCAGACCAGATCCTCCACTTGCCTAGTCACCTGTTTCACATCTGATAGAAAAAAGGTCTAAATGAAGCACTCCCTAGGGAAATCCATGGTTCTGGCCTTCTCCATTTCTGCCCTGGGCTGCAGTGGGGATCCCAGGAATGCAGGCAGTTTTGCCATTTCCAGGATAATGCATTGGCAGTGAGCGTGGTTTAAAATCAGCCCCTGAGGGAGCTGAGCTCACGAGCTCCAGGCTTACCTTAGGGAGTCTGTACTTCTCTCTCAGGTGAACCCTCAGACAGGCTCGCTCTGCTTTTTTCTGTGCAAATGCTGCATCTCTTTCCATCCTGGAAACCAGAAAAAATGTTCCTTCAAGATGCTAATAAAATACAGTCTTTTACACTGAACAAGGTGCTTGGCTGCAAAAAGCTGCACACAGGAGTTATTCCCCAAAGTTATGTAACTTGTCCAAAGGCACAAGAGGAGCAATGCCAGTAAAGTGATGCAAAGGGGTCAGACTTGCAGTGCTCCAAGCTTGTCCTCAGAACAGTTCCCTTGAGTCCTGTGAATAAGGAAGGATGAGCTAATACTCTTTGTCTGGAGTTTGTACCTGTACTACCTGTTATTGCTGACTATAAGGACGAACAATTCCAATGAGCAGAACACAAAAATTGCCCTTATTCCTTGGTAATTCCACTGGGGCACTCAGAGCCATGGCTGCCTGCCAGTGCTCATGCTCTACAAACATGACACTCTCTTAGTATGACACCACACAGAAGGGCAGGGGAGTCTTTCTGGGACAGAACAAAAGTTTAGCCATCCTGGAGTCCCTTCTCCCACAGGAAACAGGAGTGGATGTGTAGAGAAAGGATTTAGGAGGAGTATAAGCATCCTGCATCAAAACTGCCCAGCTTCCATACTCAGTGGTGCAGAGTCCTGGAGATGGCCACTGGCTCTACATCCTTGGCTGTAACAGCCCTGGGTGGCCTCTGTCACCTGGGAATTTTCCTGGTCTTTTCTTTGTCCACTCACTGTTTCACAATGGCAATAATTTCCTGTGGCAATGAATTCAAAAGCTTCCCTGTATGGAAAAAGACTTACTTCATTCGTGATTTTATAAAATGTTTTCACTAGATTTAAGAACTGGTCTGCACAATTTTTTGTTAGATTAATTGTGTATTTATTTGCAAAATATGTCTCCTTGAAGATTTTTGGTAACTTTTGATAACATTCACCTTTCCACCTCTCCCTTTAATTTTTTTCCCCCCAGTAGCATTTTCATGGAAATCCTATTGCAAAATTGGTCTTGTTTCAGTATAGGTACTTTGTCACATAAAAGCTGCTTGCAAGATGAAATATTACTTTTCCCCTGCTTCCAAAATGAGTTTTTGGATTTCTCTGTCTCTAAAAAAAAAATCCCCCCCCCCCAAAAAAAAAAACACCCCTCCCCAAACCTAAAATATGAGAAGAACCCAAAGCCAGTTTGGTTATG